GCTGACCTCTTAGAATTCACTCTGTAGACCAGGCTGGCCTTTAAGTCAGAGATCTGCCTGCCTCTGCCTCCATGATGGAAAAGGGAATATTCTATTAGACAACTCAGAATAAAACCAAAAAGTTACTATTTATAAGGTGAGTAAAAGAACAATTCATTAATAAGATATTTCCAAAAATACTGCTACCTAGATTTAAAAAAACTTGAAATAGGAATAGAAAGATTATCTCCTCAACTTGATATATGCTATCTATGAGAGACCCACAGCTATTAATCAAAGTAATGATGAAAGAACAAATACAAATGTCCCGAGACCTGGAGCAAGACAAGGATGTCCTTTTTCTACTTCTGTTTAATAATGTTCTAAAGGAAAACTACACAACAAAAAGATATAACACTATTACATTTCATAGGTGGCATCATTTTATATAATACATACATATATATATATATATATATATATATATATATGGAACACTACAGAATAATAAGCAAAGTAAGTATGTTTGTAGGTTATATGATCAATACACAAAAATCAACAGTTATTCTCTATACTTTCAAAGGATAAGCCAAAATGCACTGAATAAGATAGTTCCATTCATGATAACATTAATAAGACTAAAATAATTTAAGAACAAATTTAATAATTGGTATAAAATGTATACTTTGAAAAGTAAAAAATACTGTTGGAAACACCTGAGAAAGTCCAAGTAAATAGAACTGGTGTCAGGTTCAGGTATTACAAAATGTAATACCATTAATATAGCAGTACTTTCCTACCTAACTTCAGACTTAACACAACCCCTAATAGTGAGCCAACTGACTCTACAATGTAGTAAAACCAACAACAATCAATACCATGTGAATGTAGTCCTTTCTTGAGAGTAGATGTCCAACAAAATAATCTTTGGACTTTTGGTCATAAGAACTTTAAATGCTAAGTGGACAGGGTTTTTTACTTTTAGGCTTATCATGACATCACATGGTGACATTTGGATAACTACACACAAGGCTTCCCACCCTCACATATTATTAAGTCATTGTTGAAAATGAATCCAATTTTTAAATGTAAGAAAGAATGGCTAAATGGTTGTTTTAAAATAAGCCCCCATCCCTACCCCAAATAACTTGACAGACTTTGATGATCCCCCATGGAAGGCCTCACTCTCCCGGGGAGTGGATGGGGGATGGGATGGGGTTGGTTGGGGGGCATGGGAGGAAGAAGGAACTGGGATTGATATGTAAAATAAGAAAAAATATTAAATAATAAAAAATCAGCTCCCAAGAGTTATTTTACAGTCTTCCCTTCATCAAGTGACATTTCCTTTTCCCCCTTAGTATGGGTTAGATCTGTGACTTTGCTCTAATGAGGATATTGCAGAAGTGATGGTGTGTGACTGGGTTACCAACAACATTGTGGCTTTCTTTTCGATCATCGGCTATGAGAGAAGCCTGCTGCCTGTCCTGAGGACATGCATATGGAGAAGTCCTCTTAGCTAGGAATTGAGTGTTCTGCTAGCTTGCAGAGACCGAGCCAGGAACATTATAAACCTCCTGGAAATTCCTGGCTCATAGAAATTGTATTTTTTGAAAGCACCCCCTCTTTTCATTTTCTCCTTTAAGCTGCTAACCCTCAGAGCTCATTTATAAATGTAGAATATGGTGCAAAAGAAATAACACATTGGTATGTGATATAAAGAATTAAAAAGCGGAGGTAAACAAATAGGTACTTCAATAATGTCCTCATACTATGTTCAGTGAATCATTCTACTAAGCCTCACTTAGCAGACTTCATGTCACAAAGGCTCTCTGTGTCATTCCTATAGCTGGGCATTAGATATTGCTTATATCAACATTTAATGTAACAGGAAATTCTGAAGAAATTGAAGTGACAATAACCTCAGCTAGTGAGACAGCTTATCAGGTTTGCCCTGAAGTATGAAGATCTAAGTTTGACACTAGGAGCTCACATGGTAGGAGAAAATTGACTCCTGCAATTTTTCTTCTGACATTCACACACGCACAGACATGAACACATGCACACACAAAAAGTAATAAATAGAAACTGATTTTTTAAAAAAGCCCTTCTTAGGCTAGAGAGAAAGCTCAGTGGTGAACAGCGTGCACAGTTCTTCCAAAGGTTCTGGGTTTCTTTCACAGCACTCACATCACATGTTCACAACCATCTGTGACTTCAGCTGTGGGGAAACCAATACCCTCCTCTGGCTCCCATGGGAACCTGTGCTCACATGCACATATCCACACACAGACAAACACATGTACATCTATCTTTTTTTCTTTTTAAAGTAAGCTGGGCGGTGGTTGTGCACATCTTTAATCCCAGCATTCAGGAGGCAAGGCAGGGGGATCTGTGTGAGTTCAAGGATAGCCTGGTGTACAAAGCGAGTTCCAGGACAGCCAGGGCTACACAGAAAAACCCTGTCTCAAAAAACCAAAAAATAAATAAACTTCTGATGCTTTCCAGATGACATGAATTTACATTTTCCTTGAAAATTTCATCTGTCAAATCCTTCATTGCACCAGAGGGGTGTGTTCTTTGACATCTTTCATGTACTCAAAGTGAAATCTCATTCACTGAATCAAAAAATCCAAAGTTTAGGCAATTGAGGCACTAATATGGAGCCCACATTTTCAAAGTTATAGTTTGTATAATACAATTTAAGCTCTCAAGTGTAGTGTCTGAGTACAGATGGTCTACAGTATCCTAAACTTCTAGGATGTCAGGAATAAAGTTAAGTGGGGGAACTATTTTTTGCATACTTAGTTTATTTGTATGTGTGTACACCCGAGTGTATGAATGTGTGTTGTGTGTGCAGGAAGTTCTGCATGCCAGAAGAGGGTGCTGCACTACATGGAACTAGAGTTATACACAGTTGTGAACCACTATGTGGGTGCTGGGAATCAAACCTGGTTTTTTGCAAGAGCAGTAAGCTCTTAAGCACTCAGCCATCTCTCAGTCCCAAATGGGGTGACTTTTTGTTTTTTGGTTTTGTTTTTGAGACAGGGTTTCTCTGTGTATCTCTGGTTGTCTTAGAACTCAGTCTGTAGACCAGGCTGGCCTGAAACTCACAGAGATCCACCTGTGTCTGCCTCCTGAGTGCTGGGATTAAAGGTGTGTGTCACTACTACATGGCTACATTTATACTTCTTAACAAAATATGAAATGAAGGCACTATAAAGACTAGAATATAAATGACAATATTATATAGTACTGTTACAACCAATATGTATAACTATGGACTTTCGGATTTTTTTTTTCATTTTACCATCATTTAAAAATATTCTGGCCTGGTGTGCTCATACCTTAAGCTTACCTTGCTCTAGGAAAGCCAGTCTTCCTGTAAGTTCTCGATGGCAGTGACTGATACTGCCATCTACCCAGGTCACCAGCCAGAGACCTAGGCAGCATCCTTCACCTTTCTTGTTTATTACTCAATAACTAGTCAGTCAACCACAAGTTCTAGGTTTCAAATATGCTAATTATTTTGGAATTGCCATTTCCTCTCTATGGTCACCATCTTGGCTCATCTGCTCCTGTCGGCCCCTCACAGTGCAAATGCAGGAGTTCCTTCTGTCCCTAGAGTTTCTGTACATGGTGCTCCATCTGCTTAAGATTTCCCTCCCCTCTTCATTTGCATTGCTTGTTCAGCCAGCCCATTCTGGTCTCTTTCCACAGGTATTCCCCCTAATCCCCTCCTCCTGGAGTCACTCCTCTTAGCTTATGGTAAGGTGACTCTCGTATGTGCTTTATTATCATCCTATATCCTCTAGGATTACTTCCATATCATATCTGGAATGCATCAACTGCCCCCAAACTTTGAGCTCCAGGATGGCTAAGGCTGTGTTTCTGCTTTGTGTTGCAACAAATCCCCAGTATCTGGCTTGCCTTTTCACAAGTGCTCCTAATGCTGGCTGAATTCATATGAAATTGTAAAAAGGAATTCTAGGCCTTAAAGGGTTGTACTAGCTATTTATGCATCAGGCACTTCTATTTTGTAATTTGGGTTGTTCTCACCAATTTACATTTTGTTGTTTTCTTTTTGTTGTCTCAGTATTATACAGTTTACTAAATGTCAACATGTCCCAGATGTACCCATAGGAGTAAGGGTTCCAGCCACACTTGAGCCAAATACTTTACGGGAGGGAAGAAATGGTGTGAAAGAAATCCAAAGGCAGGGGAAACACAAGAGCACACAAGCTACATGGCCCAACTGCTTTTCTCCACCGCACCTAGCTCCTTCTACAACTCACCCTGTTATGCCAGAACCAGTGGGTTTCAAACACTGAGTGTATAACACTTCTGTGGCATAACCTGATGCAAGAGGCCTCCTCACCACATTCTAAAAATACTATTCTAGTTTTCGATTTTATGAAATTGATATATATATATTTTGGTTTTCTGAGAGAGGATTTCTCTGTGTATACTCCTGGCTGTCCTGGAACTTGCTCCGAACTTGAATTCAGAGATCCACCTGCCTCTGCCTCCCGAGTGCTGGGAAGAAAGATGGGTGCCACCACAACTTGGTGAAACTGACATTTTTCACCTGCTATAGGTGACTAAACCCCTTTTAAGGATCTGAACAGAGTACATTACAAAGTACTCTACTCGAATAGGGCTTTCCATTCCATAAAAGCAACTGGCCCTTTGGCTCTCACATCAAAGGCTCAAAATCTGGTGTACAGCTGTGTTTTCACCAGAGGATCTGAACAACCTCAAGAGGGTTTCCCAGATAACATTCTTGGTGGAAAGGCCCTTGGGCAAGACCATCACTACAACCAGCTCCCAAGGACATTCTATCCAATATACATCACTCCCTGTTGTTCCTAGAAAGATTTTCTCCTCCTGTTCTCAGCCCTCCACTTCTTTATGTCAGTGGTTCAGGGCTACTGGGGGCTTAGCATCTCTAACTCAAACAGAAACCTCTAAGGTCTTTACCTCACAAACAGTAACTCAGAACTAAAGGAAAACCCTTGCCTTACCAGGGTCGAGAAAGGACTGGCATTCACCATCAGCACTGTAGTTCAGATCCTGTGGTCCTGCTTGTGAAATCCAGGCTTCCGGCACTGGGGGCTCCTGGACAGGTTCCATTACTTGGAGCTCAGGTGCCTCCAGGTGCAAGTTGGGTGGCATGGGTACTGTTCCAACTGGTGCCAGTTCTTCCAAGAGCATGTCATCCATGTCAATCTGAGAGAGAGGCCAAAAACATCACTCCAAAGTCTAGACTCCACTGGAAATAAAGCAACTTTACCACTATCTAAGTCAGCCATTGCTCACCAACAGTACCATGAACCACACACATAGCTTTAAAGTCTCCAGGGATTCCAGGAGGCAATGCATTAAAAAAAAAAAAACAAAAACAAAAACAAAAAGACAGTCAACCAAACAAACAAAAATAGGTGAGTTGACTGTACCAGCATGTACTTATTACAACATGTACAAACTATCAGTAACCCAACACAAATAATTACTATTGAGTTATTCCACCTGCTCCTTCCTTCATACAAAGTCTGTGGGGAGTGTGCATTTCACACAGCTGCTCCAGCTGCACTGTAAATGCATTTAAGTGATCAAGTGCCAGGAGTGCCTTATAACTACAGAAATGTGGAGGGGATGCCCAGACCTCCCAAAGACAAAAGTCTTCTCTTTTTACCCAAACCTGGAAGCTATGGAAAGTAAGGAAAACTACTCCCCCCATGCTACCCTAGGGATACAGGGACCCTGGTGACTTCCTATGCAAGCTAATATTTGTGGTGAAGCCAAGTGATCTAGTACCCCTGTCTGAGCCACAGAGATTGCGAATGTCAGACGCTCTTGCTATTTCCTTCTGGGAAGTGTGCCCTATGTTCAGTCTGCCCTGTGCTCACCTATGCCTTCCCTGAACAGAAGCTTTAAGAGGGGGTTCTGAACAGAAGGCAAATGCAGGCAGGTGGTGCTAATAGAATTTAATGGGCCAGAGATGGGCACATCCATTACAATGCAGAGCTCTTCCTACACTCTCCAAACATGGGAAAATTAAAATGCATGTGCCACACTATAGATACAGCATTCCTTCTTCAAACCTTCACATAGATGAAAAGAACCTAGCAAGAACCACATCCTGCTGATCAGGTAGAAACCAAGTAACTTTTGCATATTATTTTTAGCACTTTTGCACAAACCAGAGAAAACCACAGAATTTATTTCCCTTTACCAAGAACATTTTTGGCCACTTTGTAAAATCACATCACTAGGGACAACACTGCTCATAGCACTGGAACCTTGGTCAGAATTCCTGGCTGTCTCACCACAGTAATTGAAAGCAGAGGAGCTGGCATGTGACCATTTCATGATGTCTTCCCATGCAGTGAAGAACACTTACACTGTCGAAATGTGTATTAGTTTACACTAAGCTATGCTGCCTTCCTCTGCATTCTCTCTAGACTACTTGACTCAATGTCAGCCAGATCATTCTGGAAAGAAACAGATAGTAAATAGTTTAGAATGTGTGGGTCACATTTACCCTACCCTCTCTGTTTTGAAAAGAAATTCATTAACAAAGTAAAAACCACTAAAAAATCAAAAAAAATTAAAAAATGAAAAAAAATAACACTAGAAATGTAGAGGTCACAATCAATCATACCATGGCAGGATCTGGCTAGCAAGCCATAGAGTCAAGTACTGATAACTGTAATTGATGTTTCTAGATAAGCTATGCAGCCTGGAAATTTCCTTTAATAATAGCAAATGGGGGCATTCTCACATGTGTACCCTAGAGAGGGCATGGGGTCAGGAACAGTGAAGAACCTCAGACCCATATGCTGATTCTAGGAGAAGACACCATTGGAAAAGCCTCTGGAATAGTCTTGAGACTGTGGAATCAGAGTCAAAATGATGGATACAGACCCAACATCCTGGGTACCTCTTTTGTTCCCCTAAGAACAGAGACTCCATGTTTTTTCTCACCTGTGGTTCTGGTATCTCAAGCTCTCTCTGTAAGTCTTCAATGAGTGACACAACTCTTTCTCTATTGTCTGGGCACTGTTCCCTCACCCAGGTCTCTATTTCTGTGGGCAGAATAGTTAGGAATTGCTCTAGCACAAGCAGTTCCAGGATTTGTTCCTTAGAACGCATCTTTGGCTTCAGCCACTGACAGCAAAGCTCCCAGAGTTTGTTGAATGCTTCATGAGGCCCAGCAGCTTCTGTGTACTGGAACTGCCTGAACCGTTGTCGGAAGACTTCACAGTCAGTGTCATACTCTTGCAGCACAGAGCCCTGATTCAAGGAGGCCTGGATTGCACAACCCAGGGCCACAGCCATCACCTCTTCTAGAATTTTACAGTTAATCTGGGGTCTATGTCTCAGATTCCAGGTATTTCCTCTCTGTAATAATCTGAGGGAGCCACCTACAGCTGAAGACAGGAAAACACGAAAAGGAGAAAAAGCAATGGTTACAAGATGGCATACTCACCGTCTTTAACTTACTTAGCTTTGCAATCTGTGAGGTCACAGGGTTGGTCATATACATGCTTACACAGGGCTCAGGGTCTGCACAAGCAGATATACTATGGATCTCCACCCTGCCTCCCCTCCCCGCTCTGCTTTTGCTGAGGCGGTTTCAAGTATATGCCTTCTTTAAGATTTCTCTAGAGATTCAAGGAAAAAAAATAGTCCTGATTCTCTTCCAATTCAGGCAACTGAACCAAAACTTACTGCATATCACCCGTTACTGTGACCGTAACCTGAACATCTGTGCCAAGATTTAGACATAATTTACTGTGTAATCCTCACACCCAAATGCCCCTGTCTGCAATATGCACACAGTGATAGCATCAACTTCATAAAAATATCCTTCGAGGACCAAATGGCCCAGAAAGTGAATAGCAGCGTGCCTGGCACAATGTAAGGACTCAAGGGAAGTTTATTGCTGGTCAAGACTCCTTCCTAGGAAGCTTCTAGTTTCCTGAGCCCAGGCATGTAACCGTTGCTGGAGGACATCCAAGGATCTGCAGTCTTTTGGCTGTGGACCCACTAGTTAATCTTCTCCAGCCTCACAGCTGGCTAGCTTTCCCCTAGCTGACCCAAAACCTTCCACCACGTCTACCAGGGAAGTGACCCTCTAGGTTTCCTGTCCTGGGCCCTACCTAGTAAAAACTTCAATAAGGAACCGTTTTTTTTTTTTTTTTTTTCTTTCTTTCTTTCTTTCTCAAACCTCCCCTCAGTGAATCCACCCTCACAGGGCCTACCCATAAAGCAATGTAAGAAAAGAGGGCACTGGGGGGAAACGGCAGGCGTGACATGTCCCTGAAAAGCATAAAAGCTGGTTTAAAATCCGATGCCAATGTTAGGGACGTGTTTCCCCAAAGCTCCTGGATGACGATGTCCGACCACCCAGATGGGCACTCCCAGTCCCGGAGGACTCCCAGCAAGGCCTGGCCGGGTCGCAGGGAGCGGCGGCGGGGTCCCTGAACGAATAGGGGCCCGCCGCTCCTCGTTGCTCCTGGGGTCTGGCGCCCAGGGCACATACGAAATTTGCCAGTTTGCGTGGCCCCAGCCTGCGAAAGGAGCCCCGTTACCCGCGCCCGCGCCCCAGGGACAGCCACGCCCTCTGGCCGCTCCGGGACTCACCGCCTCTGCGCCCACGGCTCTCCCAAGCTCACCGGCAACTGCTCAGGGCGCAAGCGCCGATCCGCTTTGAGTACTACATCTCCCGGCAGGCTCCGCGCAGCCCGCTCTTATAGCCCACAAGGATGCTGACGTGGGAATGGCTGGGATTCTCCCAGTCTTCCACCTAGCTTCAAGCTGCTTTGGAAGAGCTCCTATTTCCGGTCTTAAAGCTTCTTTTTCCTAGGGGAGTGGGTGGGACGAGGCCCGAGTCCTGAGTCAAGTAAGGACTTCTTCCCAACAGCTTTAGAGTAATGGGCGCAAGTGGAGAAACAACTTTGTTTAAAACAGCCTTGCCCTGCTCAGTGATTTTTCTGGCCTCAAAGGGGAGGTTCTTGGGAAAGCATTTTTAAAATTCAAACCTCTGGGCCCCACCCCACACCCTGATGCCCTGGAGAGGGAAAGGCCTTGGAGCTTAGAGGTTCGCATTTTAATAAGTTTTCTGGCATGCTGATTTTGAAGTATCTTGTCTGTGTATCACAGTTGCCTTGAGTATGCTTCTTAGTTTTTTTTCTATTGAAGACTTTGAGCTTCCATCTAGTGAAATCCTCCTATTCCTCCCCACCTTCATTGTCCACCAGTGGTCTCTGGAGTTTTAGGATTAGCCCACTGGCACTACTTCAAGTCTTCCAATTGGTCCCCCGCTGTTCCCGCCCCTGGAAGCAAAATTCCCCTTCTCAGGATTGGCTGAGTTGTGGTGAGACAGTCCAGTGGCCACTAGATACAACGGTGCTAACTGGAAAACCGTACTCTTATTGGGGCCAAGCTGGGGCTATTTGTCTGTGGCTGCCAGAGTTTTAGTGCTAGGACTTCTTTTCTTCCTGAGAATCTGTGGGCCCTAGATAGTGAGGAAAAAGCATCCTGTTCTTCTGCCTCCTAGAGGATCTGTTGGGAAGCAAGGCAGACATGGGAGGGGTGAGTGGGCTTGTTGATAGGCACTCAAGACAGTTGTTTTCATCAGCTGAGGGCTGGAGCCCCTGACTCCAGGTCCTGAGAAGCCACTGTTACTCTCTTGAAAACACGAGTAGCTGCTCTCGACCAAAGTGGTTTGGGAGCCTGATGATTTTCTTTTGGTCTGAACGCCAAATGGAAAGGGTGATCACAAACCTGCATATGCTTTTGTGAATTCTGTTCCCAAGAAACTTTATTTTATTTTTTTCCGAAAAACCCTTGGGCATTACCTGAAGCACTGTCATGGGTGAATTCACCCTAAGACGTGCATCAAGGAGTAGGGTTTAGGGATGCTGATAGCAGAGCAGTTAGTTCTTGACCGTCCTGTTCTAGGAAATCCACACCTGAGTTCAGGTGCTTGCTGCACTCAAAGAGCTGTGAAAAAAGCTACAACTGTTTTGGTTGTTGTTTGGTTGTTTTTTGTTTGTTTGTTTGTTTTCTTTGTGTGTGTGTGTGTGTGTGTGTGTGTGATTTGTTTAGAGAGCACTTGGAAGGCTTGGAGAACACGTTAAAAGGGGAGATTTCTTAGCTTTGGAGTTGGCCCAAGGTCTGAGACAGTTCTGTTTGTTGTCTAAGTTCTGTTCTGTTTTGTTTGTTTGTTTTATTTTTTGTTTGTTTTGTGAATTTGTGCTGGGAATAAAACCTAAGAACTCATGCTCTCTAGGTAAGCATTCTACCACTGAGCTACATTTCCAGCCTTTTCCTTTTTTTTTTTTTTTTAAATTATTCTTTGGAAATTTGATGACTTTATGCACTGCATTTGTATATTACCCACCTACCTTTTGTTTTTTTTTAAACATAATTCTTTATTGATTCTTTGGAAATTTCACATCATGCACCCCAATTCCATTCACCTCCCAGTCCCTCCATGCCTGCTCCCACCCCTGCAGTATGTACCCCAAAATTAATTAAAAAACAAAACAACAAAAAACCCATGTCACCCCTCCATCTTTCCAAGACCTCTTCTTTCATCCTAGTAGCATTAGGGGCTGTAGTGTATCCTCATGCAGTATACCCCTTTTGTCTAGCCAGCCCCATAGACAAAATGTTCATTGCAATGAGTCATTGGTCTGGTTCAAGGCCTCTAGTTTCTAGTAAACCATCATCACTGGGCCCTCATAGAAATTTCTCTCAGATATCCTGTTGTCCCAAGTCATGGAGAACATTTGATTATCATTCCACAGGACCAGTCCCTTCCCACACTCCAGCAGGTCATGGATGGGGCAGCTGTTAGGGTGGGCCAGCACAAGACCAGGATGTGGATCTGGCTGGTAGCTGAGCTGGTCAGTCTGGGCTATTGGGCTCACCCCTCAGATGAGGGTCAGAGCCAGCTATCCTAGGCCCATGCCACGTGGCCACCTCTCCCACACCTGTGGGGTAGATGTAATAGTTTAGCAGCAGAAGGCAACTTTGGCAGGTTGGTGCCAAGGGGCACCAGAAAGTCACACCGTGTATCAGAGCTCACCATGGGAGGTTTATTTCGGGGAGTTGCAAAGCTGATCTCTGACTGACAGTAGAAGGGTAGAGAGAGGGGCTAGAAGGGCTGGCCTTTTATAAGGGGATATAGCACGCTAACATAGGGAGAGTGCTCTACTTATTGACTGTACTACCTATAGTGTCACATCTTGGCTGTTGCTGCTGTGTCCTGCTAAGTCCCTAAGAGCAGGCCAGTGTGGATACCTGGATGCTACGCCTGGCAGTAGTGGTGCAAGCCTTTAATCCCAGCACTCAGGAGGCAGGTGGATCACTATGAGTTTGAGGCCAGCCTGGTCTACACAGCGAGTTCCAGGACAGGCTCCAAAGCTACAGAGAAACCCTGCCTCGAACAAAACAAAAAAACCTGAATGCTAACATTCTTCGCTTTTGTTTCTTATAAAAGGGTGAGGAAGGAAATAGGAAGGAGTAGCTGGTGATGTGTTAATGGGGCATGGGCTGCCTTATTCTCTAGAGTAGGGACATTGGCATCTTTGGGAGACCTGAGAAAGCTAGGATGCTGGCCAAGTCCTGGAATAGCTGGCTGCTTCACTGATCTTCAGGTTTTGTGGGATCATGTGGCACCAGGAAAGTTCAGGTCTAGTTGAAGCAATCTTTGAGGTTGGACCCCTTGGGGCTAGACACTTTGAAACTGACCTGGATGTAGACTTTCAGCAGACCTGGCAGGATGCTGGCAAAGCAGAAGATAAAGGGGAATTTTTTCCTTAGATCCTGGTAATTAAGGGAGAGGAATCCCAAGACCAGGGGAAGGTGGGTGAGAGTCCACACTTAGGCACCGGCAGTAGGTTAGGAAACTTTGGCTGTTGATTGACAGTACTTATCTGGAGTGCAGCTGACAGAGCATCTGACCTGTCTGAAGGGGATCAAAGTCGACTCCTAGGAGCTCACAAACAGTTTTAGACACATTAGCGTTCCCACTGTTTGTAATCTGTACTGAGAGCCACATTGTATGAAAGGCAGTAGACTCATGCCTTTGAATCATAGGGGACCCAAAAATGATTCTTGTTGAAAATATTAGCACTCTTTCCTCTATCCAGAAAGTTGGATGTATATATGTTAGATAGATGTTTTTAGCACAGTGAGAAGCACTTTTAAATCCATACTTAAGAAACAACCAATGGGAATTTAAAATCCTGGGCTTGTGCCTATGATAATAGTAGTGGTTCTCTGCCAGAGCTAGATTGAGAGCTTATCAGAATTCCATTGATTAATGTTAACACTATGAAATTTTGGAGTCTTCATATACCAGTAACATAGGGAGAGAAAGAAACCTGAAACATCTCATTCTCTTACATACCTCAAATAATTTTCTACTTATCGCCATATATTTTCATCCTCAGATCTTTGTAACTTGCATTTACACATTTTAAAACACCTTCTAAGACCCTAAAATGTTAGATCCCCAACTTAAGATTTCATAGCTCCCCATAGACTCTGCACGTTAAAACACTTTCTATCTAATTCACCAGGAGATATATAGGTGGTTGATTACTGAGAGCAGTTGCTTTTAATAAAGGAATAGTAAAAAGTTACATTAAAATCTGTTCTGTGAGTTGACCTCTTTTCTGAGTGTGGTAACAAGCTAAATGTGTCTAGACCTACTAGTAGCTCTAGGAGAGACCTGTGGACTGAAGTTTTTTTTTTTTTTTTTTTTTTTTTTTTTTGAGACAGGATTTCTCTGTGGCTTTGGAGGATGTCCTGGAACTCAAGGCTGGTCTTGAACTCACAGAGATCTGTCTGCCTCTGCCTCCAGAGTGCTGGGAGAAAAGGTGTGCAACACCAACACTCGGCATATGGACTGAATTTTACACAAAGAAAGCTGAGAAGGAACTGAAGCCTTGATTGTTGCTGTTAAACTGGCAGAGCCATCATTAGCCTAGTTGTCAATCATCATCAGAGTTCTGAGAAGGATAAATTTTACCTGAGTAAGTGGAAATGTAGAACAAGCAGCCTCCAAATCTATTAAAAATGACAGAAACTTACTTACTGGCTACCTAGACAGCCACCCCAGGATCCTCCATTGGAGGTAGAGGTCTCAGGGAAGCATCAGTCTTCAGCTTCCAGGCCCAGAAGAATGGACAGACTTTCCTGTGGAGGATCTTGCTGGGGGAGATGGGGAGGACGAAATCAATTCCGAAGTATCCTGTTGTTCACAGCCTGGGCAGGCTCTTAGTAACAGTTAAGATGAAAAGCAGTTTTTCTTCCTGGCACTCTCTCTCTCTCTCTCTCTCTCTCTCTCTATATATATATATATATATATATATATATATATATATATATATATTCATTCTTATGTATGTATGTATCTATCTATCTATCTATATATATATATATATATATATATTCCTTATTTTACATAGCGATCCCAGTTCCCTCTTCCTCCCTCCCATTCCCCCTGACCCCCTACTATCCCATCCCCCCCCACTACACAGAGAGGGTGAGGCCTTCCAGGAGGGGTCATCTAAATCTGTCAAGTCATTTGGAGTAGGGACTAGGCTCTCCCTCCTGTCTCTAGGTTAAGGGAGTATCCCTCCATGGGGGATGTGCTTCCAAAGTCCTTTTGTGCACCAGGGATTCATCCTGGTTCCACTGTCAGAGGTCCCTTAGACTGCCCAGGCCTCTAACTGAGACTCATATGCTGGGGGTCTGAGTCAGTCCAATGCTGGATTCCAAGCTATCAGTCTGGGGTCTATGAGCTCCTCCTTCTTCAGGTCAGTTGTCTCTGTGG